CCCGGGCACCAGGCGCTCGCATTCGAGCCCTAACCCCGGGCCTGGCTCCAGGGTGGGGCCCCGGCTGCGCCATGCCAGGCGACGTCATGGTCCTTGATCTAACTTTATTCATAAGGGGGTTTTGAACTGCTCTTAGTCTGACCCGTCACCCAGGACCTGTTTGCCTTGGGAGACCCTACCAGGGACATATAGCCCCCGACAACATAGCTCCTAGGATCACTCGGGTACTCAAACCCCTCCACCACAATAAGGTGGCGGTTCAAGGAGGGGTGAAAGTTTACATGATTTATTAAAAAAATATAGCCAATGTTTTGACCCGCTGGTCTTCTTTAAGGCTTCTTCTTCAAGGCAGCTTCCCTTGAAGAAGACTGGCAGGTCAAAACATTGGCTATATTATTTAATTAAATCAGGTAAGCTTTCAGATTGCAGCCGTTTTTCTCATTTTTGATTCGGTTTGTCTTGACCAGCACCTGTCTTTTAGGTGTACGTTCAGCCTGGTTTAATTTTCTTATATTGCTTACTACAAGCAGCATATTTATGCACAGCAAAATAAAAACCTAGCTATTTCTATAAGCATGTTGAGGATTATACATTTAGAGAGGAATTTAAAGTAAAGCCGGTATGTATACTGGCATACGGTGTGTGTGTGTGTGAGTGTGTCATATTTCTTCTGATTATTTCTCTCTTCCTCAGATAATGAAAGAGATACAGGAGCACAAAATAAAAATTTATGAGTTCCCAGACACAGAGGACGATGAGGACAACAAGCTCATACGAAAGATCAAGGTAACGGACCAGATGCAGCCTTGTTAGTAATTTAAACCTTGATGAAAGTGCTTCTGATTGGTGTCAGCAGGAGACCAATGGATCGAGAACCACAGACAGCTGAAGGTCGGTCTGTGTTTTGGTAGGTTTCCAGTCCCTGCAGCTGCCTCTGTCTTGTTTCCCCATGCCTAGCAGCCTAACTGCATAACTGGTAATCAGCTTTAGAGATGAGCTCATTAAAGAACTTGCACTAGTGATTGTTATTCATGTAACTCTCAGTCCAGGTAACTGTTCCCTCTGGCAAGACCCAAGCAGGGTGTTTGCCACACATGGTGACATTATTCAACAACAACAACAAGCCTCTAGCATGGATACATTTTTCTAGGACACTTTATGGTATGACTGGTCTTTTGAAAATATGCTAATCTAAGGCCAAGATGATTCTTTCAGTGTGTAGAAAATAATATAAAGAAAATCTGAATAGTTTAGTCCACTGGCCTGAATAAATGTCATGTAAAAAATACTAGTAAACATGACACAAGTACAACGTTTGTCATGTTTAATATGCAGATTATTCCAGTCCAAATGTTCACACGTTTAAGCCAGATGAAACGTGACATTAGGAGCGTATAGTGCTTGGCCACAGGACACAGACAGTGGAACTGGACACTCATCCAGATAACATTGAGCAGTGCTCCATCCAGAGAACTGAATGCAGCAGGTCGTTTGCAGTGAAAGAAAGTTGTATTTGTCCTCCCACTTCAGGAGAAGATGCCCTTGGCAGTAGTCGGCAGCAACGTGGTGGTCGAGGTGAACGGCAAGAAGGTCAGAGGCCGTCAGTACCCATGGGGTGTGGCCGAAGGTAAGCTCGAGTTCTAGAAACGTAACTATGAAAGAAATGTGGACACTGAAGGTTTACAATCAGGCTTTTTTATTTTTCAGTCAGTTTTTAAGGAACACTACATTCTGAACGTCATTGCACCATGGTTAGACAATGACAGATGTGAGAGAGAAAGAGAGGCTGAAGCATGTTGTTTGTTTTTGAGAATGACAGCACAGTAGTCGGTTGTTGAAATGAAGACGCATGCTGTTCCTGAGAGTGTGGGACGGTGTGTGTCCTCCACAATAACCCCCTGTATGCACTGCATGTGTTAACTACCAGGTAATACAGTGACTTGTAAGGTTGCTGGGGGGGTGGCTTCAGTTGCTGGGGTTTAAGACTCTAATCTAATAGGTGGTGATGCTTCAGAGGATCACATCAGTTTGTAGGATTTCCTGTCTTTCTTGGCAGAGTTTATGGTAACATCACCTACAGACTTCATGTAATGTAACTCTGGGACTGTCATCATTGCTCTGTGGTCGAGTATGAGGGCTTTAAGTGGATGAAATATCTCTTCATCACCAGTGTCGTGTTTATCTACAGCAACTCGTATTAGGGGGCTATGACTGTTCAGCTGTTGTTTCCTGTGCCAGTCAGTGTTAAAAAAGAGTTTATATCACCCAACCATAGCATTTAGCATCATTCTTGATATAAGAAGGACAGTATTTCTTCTCAGTCAATAAATGAGTTGGGGGCACCTGGGAAACACAGACAAAAAGCAGCCACCACCACACAGAGCAGGTTCACACCAACTGTTCCCCTTCAAACACAGTTAGCAGTGTTCACAGCTGGGAAGTCGGTGAGGGATCATGAGCAACACCTGCTGGTTGATCAGGGTTAAGATTGAGCTTAAATCTCCCTACACATTACAGAAGCTCAGTGTAAAGTGAAGAGCAGCAGTAGATGGGAGGAAGTCTGGGCAGTCAGAGTAGGTGGGTAGCAGGGTCAAGGACTGTAGGTCAGAGGAAAAAAGCCTTTGGGTTCACTGGGACATTCAGTTGGGGGCATATGAGAGAGGGTCAGTTTGTACCTTGACCCCTGAGCCACAGAGGCAGCTCTGTATCATCTCAGTATCATTTCAAAATGACAGCTTAGTATGATGTCAGCTGGCAGTTATTACACTGTTACCGTATACACCCACCTTTCTTCCCTTGATGCACACATTCCCTTTGGTAGTGTTGATCTTTACCCTGACAGGGATTCCAGAGGGATAGACATTATATTATGAGGTACAGTGGTGTGAAAAAGTGTTTGCCCCCTTACTGATTTCTTATCTTTTTGCATGTTTGTCACACTGTAATGTTTCAGATCGTCAAACAAATTTATATATTAGTCAAAGATAACACAAGTAAACACATCATGCAGGTTTTAAATGAAGGTTTTTATTATTAAGGGAAAACAAAATCCAAAACTATAGAGCCCTGTGTGAACAAGTGTTTGCCCCCTAAACCTAATAACTGGTTGGGCCACCCTTAGCAGCAACAACTGCAATCAAGCGTTTTCGATAACTTGCCATGAGTCTTCCACAGCGCTGTGGAGGAATTTTGGCCCACTCATCTTGGCAGAATGGTTGTAAGTCAGCCACATTGGAGGGTTTTCGGGCATGAACTGCCTTTTTAAGGTCATGCCACAGCATCTCAATTGGATTCAGGTCAGGACTTTGACTAGGCCACTCCAAAGTCTTCATTTTGTTTTTCTTCAGCCATTCAGAAGTGGACTTGCTGGTGTGCTTTGGATCATTGTCCTGCTGCAGAACCCAAGTTCGCTTCAGCTTGAGGTCACAAACGGATGGCCGGACATTCTCCTTCAGGATATTTTGGTACACAGCAGAATTCATGGTTCCACTTATCACAGCATGTCTTCCAGGGCCGGAAGCAGCAAAACAGCCCCAGACCATCACACTACCACCACCATATTTTACTGTTGGTATGATGTTCTTTTTCTGAAATGCGGTGTTACTTTTACGCCACACATAATGGGACACACACCTTCCAAAAAGTTCAACTTTTGTCTCGTCTGTCCACAGAGTATTATCCCAAAAGTCTTGGGGATCATCAAGATGTTTTCTGGCAAAACTGAGACGAGCCTTTATGTTCTTTTTGCTCAGCAGTGGTTTTCGTCTTGGAACTCTGCCATGCAAACCATTTTTGCCCAGTCTCTTTCTTATGGTGGAGTCATGAACACTCACCTTAACTGAGGCAAGTGAGGCCTGCAGTTCTTTGGATGTTGTTGTGGGGTCTTTTGTGACCTCTTGGATGAGTTGTCGCTGCGCTCTTGGGGTAATTTTGGTCGGCTGGCCACTCCTGGGAAGGTTCTCCACTGTTCCATGTTTTCGCCATTTGTGGATAATGGCTCTCACTGTGGTTCGCTGCAGTCCCCAAGCTTTAGAAATGGCTTTATAACCTTTTCCGGACTGATAGAGCTCCATTATTCTCTTTCTCATTTGTTTTTGAATTTCTTTGGATCTCGGCATGATGTCTAGCTTTTGAGGATCTTTTGGTCTACTTCACTTTGTCAGGCAGGTCCTATTTAAGTGATTTCTTGATTGCGAACAGGTGTGGCAAGAGAAATTGAACTCAGGTGCGATAAACCAGTGTTTTGACAGGGGGGCAAACACTTGTTCACACAGGGCTCTATAGTTTTGGATTTTGTTTTCCCTTAATAATAAAAACCTTCATTTAAAAACTGCATGATGTGTTTACTTGTGTTATCTTTGACTAATATATAAATTTGTTTGACGATCTGAAACATTACAGTGTGACAAACATGCAAAAAGATAAGAAATCAGTAAGGGGGCAAACACTTTTTCACACCACTGTATGTTATATCATTTTGGCAGCAAGTACTGACCAACCCACTGGCATCAGATGTCACCTTTCACCATTAGCCACAGCTGTTTCTACTGGTGTCCCCTGAAAGATGGTATACTGTATATGTCTTTATGTAAAAAGTAATCTGCCGTTGTTGCTCTGTGGTTGACCGTTTATCAGTCTTTCATGTTTTCATTCCTTGTTTTCTCTCTCTTTTCTTTTTGCTTTGTTCTTTTCCACGACTGACAGAGGGCGTTTTTGGTAAACGAAGCCATCTTTCACTTTATTTCATCTCTGTTCTCTACCCACTCCTTCTCCCTCAGAGCGTCCCCAAATGCTCCATCCTGTCTCACATTCCACTTTTCTTTGCTGTGCTGTCTCATCATTAGGCTGATGGTCAAACCAACGCTCTATTCAAACTTGGGCTCAATGCTACAGCAGCTAGAACTGTCCCAAACACTACAGTGCTTTCATTATGTTAAAAACATTTGAAAACAAAGAAAATGCATATTTATATTAATGAAAATGTGAGTACTGCAAAAGACAAAATGATTCATCTGTTCCCAGTAGGATGTAGGTCTCAGCATTCTGCTAACACCATAGACTGTATGTAAAGATGAATGACGTGTCACCATGAAAACACCGAGGCAACCTTCTTTGCTGCTGTTCTGCCCAGTAGTGACCAGAGGTGGAGCCATGGTGTCAGGCCACCAGTCACAGCTGTCAATCATCCAAAATCAAATGACCTATTAAAAATAAACTTATCAGGAAAATGACCGCTTTTACCTGTTCCAGTTAACCTGCTAGTTTTGGAATCTGCCAGTACCGTGTTACTGGAATATTCTAGAAACCTTCTGTTGTGGAAATTAATTAAAGTTGTCTTTGGGTGGTTTATTAATATCTTGATCACCAGGTCACACACTCAATGCAAAGACAGACAACCTGAGCATTTATATTTCCGTTACACTTTTCAGCCTTCTTTAGCCTCCATCCCAACTTTTTTGAGCGTGTCACAGGCATCAAATTCTGTTTATATTTACAATATAGAATTAAGTTGGTCGGTGAAGACATGAAAAACTTTCTCTGTGCTTTTGTCAGTTAAAGGTTCAATTAACAAATCACAGATTTGAGTTTTTATTGCATTTTGGAAAGTTACCCAACTTTTAGGGAAACCGTGTTTGTAAAATCCCCTGTGAGGAAAGTGACGTGCAGTCTCACTACATTAGGGACTTTTAAGACATTCTGTTCTTCTTATTGTCATCAGTAATGCATGCTACTGTAGGTGTTATCATGGAGCAGAAGACCTAGCAATCACACAGGGGACACATGAATCATCACATAATGTAAATGTCAACCCATCAGATAATCTTTCACAACCTCAGTGAATTTTCATTGTAGTTCAAATTTATTACAGCTTTATGGGTTTAACTATCATTTCTATCCATTACAACAATATTGTACTCACCATCATTTACTGAGGTCTGGGAACAGGGTGACATTATTACAACAGTTTTTCAGGGCAAAAAAAAGCCCATGAGCAGTGGGATGATCAAAAATGTCTTTAACAATCCAGCACTTTGCCAAGATTATTGAGAAGCAAAGATTAAAGTGAGCACACCTAAACTATTGCCAGTAATCCATCCTTGCTTGGGAAAGCTGTGCGCTGATGATGGCAAGCAGAGCAGGTCAGTCTGGATGATAATTTTGCCAGTTGTCTCTTTGTTGTCTGGTTTATTTAACTTAGGGTTTGTTTAAAACCAGTATCATCTGAAAGCTCATGTTTCCTGTTCCATCAGACATGTTAGCACTGTTCCCAGACCTCAGTAGATAACTTTAAGAGTAGAATGTTGTTATTACTGATAGGAACGATGCCCCAAATTACAAAATGAAGATCAGTGGATTAATAATTTGATTTGTTGTCTCTCTAGTGTTCTCAGAGGTTTTAAAGCTTTCACACTCTGGGTTGTTTTGTCCCAGGTCTGATGCTGTACATAGTCTTGGAGAAAGCTAGAGGTTGTTTGGTGCTGAAGCTGCAGTAGAGACATCACTCTAACACTGTGGTTCCCTTCTTTGCTCCTATGGTATGAAATGCACTGCAGCATTACCACTGAATCTCAGCCCTGCTTTACCACATGATTTGCCTCAGTGTACTTTGAGCTGAATCACTTGTGTTGTATAGGGTGCCAATGGTGTGCAGGCTTCACTGTATCACTGGACCAAGGACTGGGACCCACTATCCTAACACATTGCTTTAGGTCCATGAGCAGTTAATAGTTGGTGTTTTGCAGAAGGGCATGCGGCAGCTCATTGAAGTCATCAAGACAATATGTGGCTTGGTATCATGAATTCTCATACTTGAGCATACATGGAATTTTAATGTAAGACTTTCATGTAGACATGTTTGCAAAACCATCCACACATACACATTCATGCATGTTTCAAATAAACACTTTTACACTAAACTAATGCGGTTCATCCTCATGGCCTAAATAAACACTGCAAATAGACAAGGCTCTCAAAGCACCTGATGGCCTGAGACAGTTTTCCACCAACATCTATGCCTCACTGACTGACACATTAAAAACTCAAATGGACATGGATTAAACCAAAACTGGAGCATGCATCAGGTGTTTTCTGCCGTTCATCAGCAAACAAAATCTGTTGGTTTGCTTAGTTTAGTTACAACCCATTTTTATCCTATGTCGCTTGACCGCACTTAGCTTCTCAACTTGTTCCTCACTGAGACTTGTGCCTCCAGCTGGTCATGCATAGATCCCCATATAACACCCCCTCCAGTCATTATGCTCCTGCTTACAAGCCTCTTTAGCCAGTCAGCTTGGACACATGCAGGTTATGGTGTTGATCTGGGCTGATCTGGGCCAGACACAGGTCCAATCTGGGCCAAGTCTGAGCCATACTAAACCCAGCTGCTCCAGACCCAGATTTAGCCCACACTAGGCGCACACAGTAACTGAAAACCGTACCCCTCCCTGACGTCAGACCTCCCTCCTCTAGAAGAGACAAGAGGTCAGTGGCTGGCTTGGGAGGCCAAGGGGCAGGACTGCTTAAGTTTCATCAATGGTAAGGTGTCCTTATTATTCACTCCCCTGATGACGACTGACTGCCAGTGGGGTGGAGGCTTAACCAATAAGGAGTAGTTTATTTGATGAAGAGGAGGCTGGAGAATCCGCCACACACATCCTCAGCAGCCATTTATCTGAAGTGCTTTTCCCATCTGACTGTGCAGCCATGTCTTGATTGTTGAGATGAAGACTCGCGCTGAAACAAGATCAGTTGTTTATTGTTATCTGACCAAGAATTTGTGTTTGTTCTAAACTATGTGGTGTCATGGGTCCTACGATGTCAGGCTGTGATCAGATAGGAGGCTGTTTTCTTGTGTTCAAATACCAAGACTCAGCTGTAAGCTTCACTAGCAACACAAAGCAGGAGGTCAGAGAGAGGCTGCGCTGATCATCGCTGGTCATTCTTGTCATTTTAGTCATGTGGCAAACACCACAGGTAAACCCTGAAAAGAGCAGGTCCTGCTGTCTACAGTACATCAGCTGTACTGGAGAGAGTTATTCCCCAATGGTGCAGGTCCCCTCAGCTCTCACTGGTTTCACCACTATTGTTTTCAGTCACAGCAGGCAGCTGTTTTCAGCAGAAACCCCCTGGTGGTGACTGGCTGGTGAACATAGTGAAGCATTTAGAGGCTAAAGAACTAGATGTTCTTTCCCAAGAGGTAGTGGAAACAAAACAGAGCTGAAAGGCACATAAGATTTAAATTCAACACGAAAACACAACTCCAAATGAGTGTGGCTCTGTGTCGGCAAGTTTACGCATCCTGTAAATATCTACTAAGGCGTTTGTCATAACAACTTGATGATACACCTCACCACTGCTGCTGAAGGAGACATAAATGAATGCAGCTTTAAGACTCTGGCGTGTTACATGTAATGTTCACAAGGGTCTCGGCCTCTCAGTTGACTGATGGCACAGTGGTTTGCTTCTCAAAGGGATAGTTACAGGTCCCCCGTTTACTGCTACCCAGCCGAGACATGTTTAACTTTTCATCCAATTTTCTCCAATATATGAGGTGTGTAGTTGGTTTTAGACAGAACCTGTTTAAATCAGCTCAGTGTTAATCCTCAGAACCATCCTATGTGATCATGGCCTGATGTCTCTTTGCCCTTCTGTTAATGTGTTCCTACACCTGCTAATGTAGTGTCACTTTAAATACTGACCACACCTTGGTCTCAGTGCCCCCCTCCTTTTGTAACTGATGAATGAATGAGCTTTACATTCTGAATAACCAGGTCTCCACATAGATTAGGAACCTTTTTCCCCTGTATCACCAGTATTAAGTGTTATCCTGTAAATAACACACACCCATTTGCATTGTTTTATACTCACCAAAAACAGAATAATGTGTGTTTCTGCTGGACTGGCTCTGTGTATAAACCTAGCCAGAGATAAACCACAGCTTGACAGCCATTTACCCAGAGGTGCCTTTAAGACGAGTCATGTTGGATGTGCAAACATCTGTAAAGTCAAGATATTGATGCTTTTCTAGCTCAGTTTCTCCTGAGACCACACAGTGATGATTATAAGTATGAGAAGTGTTTATTCATAATAATTCTGTCTTTCCCTCCCCATCTTCTTTTCTGTCCTTGTGTGTTTCAGTGGAGAACGGAGAACACTGCGACTTCACCGTGCTCCGCAACATGCTGATCAGGTCAGACCATGTCTTGCTTGGTTTGCTCTTTGCTAGAGGCCAAACATTTATTTAAGTTAATCTCATGAATGCAGTTTTATTTCTGAGCCTTTGAATAAAACTGTTTATTCAAACCAAACCCACTGAGGCCACTGGAGGTTGACAAATTTCTAATCTGTAATGGCCTTGTGAGTCTACGGGTTTATAGCAGATTCTACTGTTTGAGAAGCTGAGCTGGTAATAGTCAAAGCTTGTTTCTTTATAAGCCAGCTTACTACATAACATCCCTGTTTCCTTTCTTACCTGTCCTCCCCCAAACTCCCCCAATCCCATACGTGCACACACACAGGACCCATATGCAGGATCTTAAGGACGTCACCAACAACGTCCACTATGAGAATTACCGCAGTAAAAAGCTGGCTGCCGTCACCTGTAACGGAGTGGACACCTCCAAGACCAAGGGACAGCTCACTAAGTAAGATGTGGAAACACTAGATGCCAGCTTGCTGTCACGGTTTGTTTTTTGTCTGAGGTAAACAAAACAAACACTAGAATTAATTACATTTAGTCCTTGCCCCAAGATCTGACCAGTCACAGCCAGAAGCTGTGAGAAACAAAGTATGAGGTGCAGCACATTTCCCGAGGGATGGGGGGGACATAGATAGATAAAACATTAAAATATATAGTTAAAATGAAATGCAAGTTAGATTTTAAATAAATGCAGAGTAATCTCATTGTATTAAGGACAGAACAATAAAACAGATAAAGTGCAATCTTGGTTGGACTTAAAATACATTAATTAAAAGCTGTGGGAAAAAAAGAAGAGTCCTTAGCTTTAAAAGTGTCTCCAGCTGGGGCAGAACTAAGTACTGATGGGAGTTGGTTCCAGCTCTGGGCAGCATCGTGGCTAAAAGCACTTTTACCTTGTTCAGTTTGAGCTGTGGGTGCCACCAGCTGACTGGTTCCTGCAGATCCCAGACACCTACCAGGCCTGTACTGACCAAACATACCTCTGATGTGTTTTGGGTCCAGAGCATTGAGAGACTCGCTGACAATAAGTGGGCCTTAAGCTGAAATCTGCATTTAACTGGAAGCAAATTCAAAGATGTAAGGACTAGGAGTAATGTGCTCTCTCTTCTTGGTGTTAGTGCACTCACAGCAGCATTTTGAATGTGTTGCAGTTGTTTTGAGGCCTTGCTGGGGAGGCCAGTCAGGATCGCCTTAGGGTAGTCTGCCCCACTGGACACGAAAGCATGAGTGAGCTTTTTAAATCCTGCTTAGACAGAAAGCTTCTCATTTTAGTTGTTTTAAGATGCTAGCATGATGATTTAGTTACATCTTTGATGTGGCCATTAAAATTTAGATCCTCTTCATTGATTACAACAAGATTCCTGGACTTAAGGTAATTGCTGACCACCAGCCTTCTTTCTTTGTTTCCAAAAATAATTCTCTGTTTGGTCTTTGCTTAGTTGAAGGAAAGGGTTTGCTTTTTCAAGACATAGACACAATAAGTCTTAAGGACCACAGTCACTTGGTGAGAACATTAAGTTCATCTGGGTGTCGTCCTCATAACTGTGATAGGCAACACTACACTCCTGGAAAATTAGAAAAAGCGGAAGCATGTACAGGTTGAATAGGAGCAGCCCAAGAATCGATCCTTGTGGGACACCATAGTTCATGGTGTTTTTTTCAGATTCATAATTACTGATACTGACTATATGTCCCCTGTCTTTTAGATATGATCTGATTCACCTGTGGACGGTTCCTGATACTCTGACCCAGTTTTCCATACTATCTAGACATAATTCATGGTCCACAGTGTCAAATGTCGCACTAAGATCTAATAACATCTAAATGTTAAGTTTGCCGTGTCATTATTCAAGCAAATGTCATTTAAAATCTTTATGGCAGCGGTTTCTGTGCTATGATACGACCGGAAACCTGACTGAAATCTATCAAGGATGTCATTTGTTTAGCTGATTTGGTTAAAAATGACTTTATCAGTGATCTTTCTTATTAAGGGTAGATTTGAGGTGGCCCTGTAGTTTCTTAACACTGAAGTATCCGCGTCTTTTTCAGGAGGGGCCTTATTAGAGCAGTTTTTAATGATGCTGGAAGGATTCATGGATAGGAGTGAATAATTTACAGTATACAACAAATCCACTGCCAAGGAGCTAAAAACACTTTTTTTTAAAAGTGTTTACGTAGAATATCTAATGAGCAAGTCGATGTTTTATGATGCTTCACAGTTTGTTCTAGATTTTTGCTGTTAACTGCAGTGAATTCTGACATAAAAGCTGTTCTGTTTGTAGATGGTGATGAGGTCGTGTTGTGTCCGCTCAGCTGAGTGGATCTAATACTCTGATATTTTCACATTTTTGATGTATATATTGTGCAAATTCGTTGCATTTTTTAGTCATTAGGAATTCAAGGGGTGGCAGCAGTGGGGGATTTGTTAACCTATTGATAGGCATGAAAGTTTCTGCCATTGTTATGCTTATTGGTAGAAGAGACTTTCTGCATCATTGACTCCCCCCCCCCCCCCTTTTTGAAATATCACCCCCTCTTTCAAGGTAGGTTGTTGGAGACCACTACATAAATGCTACTGTTTGCTGCATTACATGTCTCTTACTTCTGGTTGCTACCGACCAGCTTAACAAGGACAGCACTGGCCTAGATACCCATTCTGTGGATCTGTATGGTGCATTGTTACATCCTCAGCGATAATGCATGGCAGAGTAAAAGGGGCCCACCTGCAGGGCTAATCGGCTCTTCGCTTACACTGGCCTCTAACATCTGTCTCATTTTCATGACCAACAGGAGTCCCCTGGCACAGATGGAGGAGGAGCGCAGAGAGCATGTAATAAAAATGAAGAAGATGGAGGCAGAGATGGAGCAAGTCTTTGAAATGAAGGTTAAAGAGAAGAAGCAGAAACTGAAGGATTCAGAGGCTGAGGTGGGCTGGACGACTTGTATGCATGTTTTTGTGCCACAGTCAAAGCAGGGCATTAAATAAGAGTTTCAGGTCAGTGATGGAGTATAGTATCAGGACCCGTCGGGTCACTGCAGCAGCTATTGTGAACATGATCTGAGCTGTACAGTAATGAAAACACAGTGCCTCTTTATTTTTACACTGTCACCATCATGACATAAAATTAACCTCAACAAATCAAATACTTGCAGCTCTCAACTGCTTTTTCAACTGACTTATCATGGATATATACTGTATATATATTCTATTAGAATAGGTTTTAGTGCAGCGGTGTAGTGGTAAAAATAAAGCATACTTTCTTTTATATGTAAGAAAATAAGACAACTATGGTAAGAAACCTTCAGGATTTTTTAAATTCCTGGCCCAGTTGTGTGACGTGGTATTTCAAAGTAGGTACGTGAGACCAAAATGTAGTTCTTTAGACACATGAGCAGCTGACACTGTGGGTAGGTGATAACGTGATTAAAGTGGAACACATACTGTAACATGTTGGGTGTTACATAAATATCCCTCACAGAAAAACAAATAAAAACACCCCAACTGTAGCTTCGTTCCATGTGAACATTTGCCAGTGCTGTTCATTTGGGTTTCCTGTCTTTGTGTTTGACAGCGAGTCTGTCTGATGTTTTGACCCTCAGCTGGAGCGCCGCCATGAGCAGATGAAGCGGAACTTGGAGGCCCAGTACAAAGAGCTGGAGGAGAAAAGACGAGTGTTTGAGGAGGAGAAGACCAACTGGGAGGCTCAGCAGAGAATCCTGGAGCAGCAGAAACTGGATGCCTCCAAGTCAGTAACAGTCCCACTTGTCATCGGCCGACTGATGAGCTGCTTGTTTAACTGACACGGCGTTTGTTCATCTCAGTATGCAGAGTGTCTGCTGATGCGCATGTCATAGTATCCTTTAGCTTGACTCTTCCTCAAGCTAGACAGTAACTGCATAGTGTTACACCACAGTACCTGGCAGCCTTCATCATTCACATCTCAAATCTTTGAGTTTTGCTCTTAAGTTTTAATCAGCAATAAATAATCAATACACATTACCTTTTTTTTTTTGTTTGTTTTTTACATGCTGAAGGTTGTTTCCCAGTGCATTAATATGATCTGTATTGTGCATGCTGGCTCATCAAACTGATCATCACACTGCTCATCACACTGTCCTGACATACTGGCACATCTGAATAAAAGAGAGCATTTATATAATGTTCATTTCAAAAGCGAGTCGGACTGAGATCAAGATCTCTTTGGCAGCAGAGACTTCAGTAAAGAAAATCAAACACTGGCAGATAAAAACTTCAGGATGAATGCAGAACCAGCAGAAGCACCAGTGACAAACAGACATAAAAGATTTGTATAAAATTATCTGTGTAGGACTTTAATACTCACCAGTGGAATGAGACAAGTTCTAAAACTGGAGAACGGTAAAACGAGCCACTTTTTAACATCATGATTCCATGGCAAAATGAACACATATTTATTTCAAACAGCAGTTGCTATATCTACTTGGCTGTTGTACATCCACTGAAATTAATCAATTTTTAGAAGTACAACCCATCAAAAAAAAGTCCTTATGGCACAACATACCCCAAAGTAGGGGCAGGCTGAGCTCTGTTGGTGCCTCCTGGTGTGTCATGGAATAGATAGGCCATCCCTGCTCCGCCCAGGTTGGGCAGCAATAAGTTTGGTGATCCCTGTTGTTGTTCATCTTGCCGCATCATCAGGTCAACACTTTTATTTGACCAGATACTACCTGAACTAATGATATAGCCATAAACCTCAGCTGTACTTTGTGTTTAGTAATAATTTACACGTTATGCTGACTTACTACTAAGGTTATGGATGTGGTAAATATCATAGCTGCTCAGCCTCAGCATGTTGGTATTGGCACTGTGAGCATGTTGACATGCAGACTGATGTTAGCAGTCAAATACAGGATCACAGAGCTCTTCTGTAAGTGACAGAGGGGAAGCTGCTCGTCTTAGACCTTCCTGAGGGGCTGAGCCCCAGTTTGTCTTACGTTCACAGTTTTTTGGCATGATGCTAACACCTAGATACATATAGTTGTTAATTTAGCCACATTTTAAGGAAACATGAATGTGATTTTGACTGGGGTAAGGTGAGCTATTGGCCCAACTTGCCCCAAGGCTAGTGGCACGTTTTACCCCACAACCACCAGTTTTAAGAAAAGTGCTTCATACAGCAGCTCGGATCCAGTTAAGCTAACTTTATGACCACGTGTAGCTCAGACAGGTTAAAAATATAAGTGTGGTAGTGTGCCAAACCTATCGGTTTCCATTTAGATACAAGTCTGATGACGTCTTAACAATGATAAATTCACTTGGCATGACAGAAATCCCATTGTCACACCTGGGTTGCTTACCATGTTTTACCATGTGCTCTATCTTACCCACTGGCTCATCTTACCCTGGTTTCCCCTATCATTTGTAATGTGCAAAACAGTGGAAGACAGTCTTCCCAAATTCAGGGGGAACTTGAGTTAAACATTCATGAGATCTAGTTAATGAGACTCATTCACCAATATCTTAAGTTTTTTTTTCTTAAATTTGTTCTCAAGAGGGGTGCTAAGAAAAGTCTGATTCATGAATATGTTCTTAAACTGTAAAAGAGTGTGCACCTGTGATTTTACAGTCATATTGTCTTAGTATGTTGAAAGCGCGTGGCAGGCATTCCTTTTCAGAATAAGTAGACATATCAGCCCACGTTGCCTTCATTGTTGTCACTAGCTGAACAGCAACAACTATGACCACAAGTTACAATTGCAAAATATGATAAATGTTAAGACAACAATGGCACAAGTAGAGAAGAGTGCACTGACTCAGCAATATCACAGTACGCTATGTAAAACCTGTAACTATTAGCTAACATTAGTTGCCTTAAGCTACTGGTCGTACCAGTCCAAGTACAGCTATAGCAGCAAAACAAAAGCTAGAGTCAGGTAGGCTGGGCAGTGTTTATTTATTGCTTTCATTTTTAAAATAGAATTTTATTTCTTATTTCAAGTTATAAAAAGTTACTCTTCCATTTCATGTAATTTTTCGCTGAGCTACACCAAAGAAAATCCATCCATCTCTGCTGCATTAGCAGCAATCTCAGAAACTTTGTCAAAACAGTAAACTTGGTTTGAAATGTGTGACTGTGTGTGTTTTTATGTTTTTGCATAACATAATGAGCTAATTTTTCATCTCCTTATTTCTCACACAGGACAATGGAAAAGAACAGAAAGAAAGGAAAAATCTTCTGAAGAGAGACACAAGCTGCTCCTCGAATTTTCCATAAGGTCTTATTTTCTGAAACATCACATCTATTGTGGCCCTCAGAACACACACAAACAAATACAATAAAGCTCAACACATCATGTAACATTCCTGTGTTATATACAATACACACCCCACAACACGGACGCCATTTACGGTACACCCAGATACATATATTGAAATGTCCACAGCAGCCCACATGCTTGTCTCTTTGCAGGGCTTTGCTGTGTTTGTTGGGAATTTGTCATTTTCTTGGGGAATGCATGTGATTGTGAAATTATACCTTCCCATGTTTCCTGACAAAGAGGAAAAGCCCGAGTTCCTCTGAGCTTGCAGTGCCGAGTAAACACATTGCAGGGACAATGCATAGTCATTTGTACACGTTGTAGTTGTATGTTTTACTAAACCTACTATCCCCTTCCTCGACATTCCTCCTCTAATTGTTATCAAAAAGACAACACATTCAAACCCTCAGTCATAAAGAGCTCTTTTGTGGTGTGTTAGGAGATGGGACAGCACATGTGAGTGAGCTAATGCTAATCAACAATAGCATTTTGAACGTCTTTATAATTTCTCAGTACTATACGGTTTATCAGCCCCCTCACATTTTGTTTTTGGAATTGTATATCATATAATTTAATAAAAAGTTACTGAAAGTAGAAAAGAAAACTTAAGAAAGAGCTTGCTAATGGTTAGTTAGCAAACTTGTTAGCTCAGCCACTGGTACAAATACTGCTGGTAAATAAAACGGTACTTTTGCCAGTAGAACGTAGTCCTTTTATTCCATAAGCAAATATGTCCTCTGAATAAAACAGCAGCTTTCTCCCCTTAGTAAATATGTCTTTTGAATAAAACAGTAAGTTAACTAACAGACCTTATCCAGTTAGTAGGGTAAATATGGTATAAGACAACAAGGTCACTAATGGAGTTTATGCTCCCATTAGCAAACCTGTCAATTCAAAGATGTATCTGTGCAAACTATTCCTTTTTTGTGGAGTAATATTAGTTTATATTTTGACAGAGGAAATTAAGAGTTAACAGCTTCTGTAGCTTCCTGTATTTTGGACACTGTTCTCTCAGAAGTCGCCTCTGACAAGATGTCTTGCTATCATTTGTCGTGTCGGTGCAAACTTACACGCTAAAGTTGCAAAAGCAAACTTGATTCAAAACATTTGCTAAATCAATGTTTTGTGCCTGGGCCTTTATGTAGGATTTACAGTGCAGTGATAGGTGTGTGTATGAGCAGGTGTACTTTGATTAAATGCTGTATTTGAGGTCATATATACTTACCTGTCGGTCCTGTACAGACAGAAGGTGGTATAGGAATTATCACACAGAGTCCAGGGCAGAGTGTGTTTCCTATTTGAATAAAGATATTATGCAAAAGCCTCATTGGTGTTTACAACATCACAGGTTACAAAGTTGTTTTGTATTGTGATGTCAGTGATGGTATTGTCCTAGACCTGAACCCCGTCTCCAGATGTTTGGGTTAAACAACCAAAATGACAATTCACCGTTGCAGGTGAAATATAGTTTTCTTTCTCCTGGACTTCCCAGAAATAAAACCGTTCTAAGAAGCTAAGCCAGTTCAGCCACAGCTTTGTTTCAGACGTCACTGCCACACACAGCAAAACATTACCCCTTTGCTTTCCTGTCACATCGGATGTGCAAGGTCCAGGTCTGAGTCGGTTCGGAATCAGAAAGCACGTCACTGTGCAACACATTTGAACATTTAATAATGCTTTCCTGCTTTTATTTTTATATGATGATGATGGTGATGTTAATAATAGTATGGTTGAAGAATGACCCTTAAATCTCTTCTAGTTTTCTTAAATAACTCGTAGACTAGTCTTTTATTTTAGTATTTTTTTCCAGACTGTCTGCAGTCTTCAGAAGGCATTTGACCTTTAGCTTGTAACATAACACCTATATGGGTTTGTTCAGGATGAAATGCACACACGTGCACATAATGGAGGCTGCTCAGTGGCAGTTTTTCTTTATTTCTTTTTTTTTTTTTTTTTTTTTTTTTTTTTTAAACGCAAGGACATTAGGTAAAGAACTGCATCTTTATTTTACTGCATATCCAGCACACAGTGAAGTGACAAGTCTTTTATCCTCAACTCAGTTTTTTCCCCCCGGACATTACTTTGCATATTTAACCCACAACTGTATAACAGAACTGCATCTAAGCCATATAAACACACAAGTACTTCATTTCCCTAATGTTTCCTGAAAATTCCAGCAAAGAGCAAAACAGAACCAACTGTGTAAAATATACTCGCATATACTCTATCCATCTATGCCAATGAGTTCACCTTCTCAGGACGGTTCTTTTACGCCAGATTTTCTCCAAGTCCACAGAGGAGCAGTTATGTGGTTCCACAAGTTAACTGAATTTTCATTGAAATGCTTGTGAACCCCTCACAAGTAACAAAACGTTAAAACAGATTTAAGTTGAGGTGAATTTTTCATTTCTTTTTGTAATATTTTCCTTTATATATGCACTGTATACATACACTTTTTGTGCTTCTCCTGTTTGTTTTATCATGTGTTCTGTCTGTAACTGTACATGGTTCACATTAAAGTTGATGAGGTTATGCTTTAACTCCCAACATGTGCAGGTGTTCTTTTTAACACACTGGCATGGATGTATGCGGTTTGGGATTTATCAAAATGAAAAACTGTAATTCTAATCATAAAAAGTTGTTTTTGTAGACTAGGAATAACAATTTATAACCCAAGCTCATGAATACAGGGATTAATGTGAGGTTTGTAGACAAAATGTCCTAGGACAGGTCTTTAAATCAACAGGGAGGATGATGTGACGACAGGGTCTAAATGCTGAGTGTGTACATCTCTCCACTGTGTAGTGCACTCAGAAATTCCATAATCGATTGTAAAAAGAAGTGCATATGTCATGTACACGATTTTCTTGTAACAATCCCACAACGCAGTGCTCTGCATTTTATCTGAGGGGAACTTACCGGTGTGTGGTTCTCCAGCTGTTAATGATAAGGCAAAATGATGATGTTTATTTAGTAAGAGTCCAAAATCTCAATTTACTGTTCACTACATTATATTCAGAGGTGTCTTTATAGTTTTTTCTTTTAATGACTGTCCTGCATCAGAGGGTGGGGGTCAGCTAGAGATTAGTGTGGTTAGGTACCTGGCAGGCTTCACTGTTTCAACTTAAGACCTTAACTGCTACATGAAAAGCACATAAGTCTCATATTCACTGTGACTGTGTTTGGTCAAATGAAACTTTAATGATTAAAAGTAAAGCAAAACAAGTGTCCATGGGATTCATCATTAAAATCACCCATAGCGTCTTAGAAATGACACCACAAGGTAAAACATACACTGTTAATATCAGACAGGGCTCTATCGCTGCCTAAACTGGAGCGGGTGGAGCTGCTCCCTATGAGGACTCCTGCTGGTCTTTGTCGACCTGCCATTTGTTGAAACAGTTGTGTTAATATCAAGAGTTCCAAAAAAGCAGTTTTAACATAGAGTTCAACAAATAAACTTTTACAATTAGACATCAGTTGAGATTTACCATTAACTCTTTCTGAACCTTTTGCATGAAGTAAAGATGAGATAACATAAAATACTGGACCAACCATCACAAATGGCCTTTTTCCAGACCAACCAAACTTGAACTGTTACTTCTTTCCAGTCAGATCCTAAAGTAGACAGACTTCTGCATGGCGGCGCAGCAGAGCAGCATCAGTCCCACCATAGAGTTGAGAGCCTTCATGGTGTCATCAGTGCAGATCTGAGATTGCTCTTCTGAATTGATCTGCTCTGATCACTGAATGTCTCTTAGCTGTTTATAGTCTTCTCTGTGTATTCATAGCAGTTCTGAGTAAACTCTACCTTTGTAGCCTACATCTTCAATAGCTGGTTAATAGAGTGGGCACTGCTGCTGGTTTAGGAGACAGGAAGTTTATGCAGCTCACTACTACCTTCATACTGTGATTAAATAACCCAGTGAAAACTAGTTTCCTGCTACTTCTATGCCTGGTTTTACATTAAAGATACTCCAGTCAATTCAAGTTGCAAATGTCACCGTTAGTGATGTAACGTGAGAGAAAATGCTGTTAAAACAAAGCGAAAGTGAAGGATGCTGTTGTGTCTTATTCTCACCTGGGGCCTGTGCACAGGAATCACACTAAATGTTTACATGCACACAAACCCTAGGAATGGTTGTGCACACATGGCTCTGTGCAATTTCCCTTTATGAATCACTATCATCTTGAAAATGTGCAGTTTGGTGAGCTGCCCAAAACACTCACACCATTAACCATTTATGGTCCATGCAAAACGCTCATGAATACTGAACTACACTGTCCTGTGGAGAATGGAAGCAGTTCTACAAACAAAGCAGAGTTTTAGAGGCTGAGCTGAGTCTTTATGGGGCCCTAAGGTAAGTTTGATGTGGGGGCCCTAAACTAAGTTTGATGTGGGGGCTCTCCACTGCCTCTTCACCTCCAATACTATTAACTATTGATTGATCATTCACACACAAATCTGAATCTAACAGCCATGATCCAGTTTATTAAGTGGACCTGTTTGCTTACATCATATCAATGTCAGCCCGGCATGTTTTTATCCTCCTGTGGTTTTTAATCTCAAAAGGTATCAAACGCAGAAGAGTGGCACCAAGTGCTAAATACTGAGTGATGTACTGAACTGCAGGGACTGAAAAGTAACAGGATGAATCAGCAAACAATGCATTTACTGTGAACATGTTAACCACTAACTGCTTTTAGTTTAAAACAAAGTGCAGAGCAACAGTCAACTACCATAAAATCAAATAACTTAAACAGCACCATCCTCAGTAACGTTCCCTTCTTATATAAAAATAAATGCAAATGTAAAAAAACTGAATATTAAATAGGTCAAGTACTTTAATAATGATAAAATAATTATGTCACTGATGATTGTTATGTTTTTGATATGTACATTTTTGCAAGATTGTTTTTCCTGCTGTTTCCATGTAACCTAATATTAAGCTCTGACAGACTGTGATGGATCAAAATGACATTAACGGCCATTACAGTTCCATAAACCAACTTTCCTGTGGAACATTTCCAGTGCTCCTGGGGGCCCTCTGGCAGCCAAGGGGGCCCTAAGCAGGGCAACAAAACACTGGTCAGGTTGATGTGGCCAGTGATTGTTCATCAGAAACGTAGAGCTCCAGAGCCAGGGCTACCTGCAGAAAGGTACAGGGAGAGAGGAGACACAAAGTTAGTGATGTGTAATGGTGGCATATGTTAGGTAATTTCTTACTCAGGTTCATATTGATTCGATACTTGTTGTATAGGAATGTTTAGTGTAGCCAGGATGTCTAGCTCAGGCTGTTAAATGCTCAGTTCATTGTCAGGAGTTCTGCAGGCTGCATCTAGGCCAAGGTCAACTAGATTGAAGAGTCTGCAGGCAGGATGAATATTGCTAGTAGCATGATATGTTCAGCCGTAATCTTAATCATAATATCTTCCGAGGCTTAATGTCCGGACATGTCCCTGAACGTCCTGTATGTTTTTAGATACACACCACATGATCAACACTCACACACACATTGATTCTCTCCATGTTTTGACTACTGCTACGGCCAGCTGTGAAGCTGGCATATCAGGTGACGTCACGGTTGACGTTCCTGTGTAGCATGGGCTAGCCCAACCAAGGGATAAAATTGTATAGGCATGAGGGTTCAGGGTCTTTTATCCTCCATGCCGCCTGCGCACAGGTTTGGGGGTGGAAGATGCCTGGACGTGTAATGTTAATTCTTGCCTGTGACCCTTTGAATAAACCAGCACGGTTATTTTTTATATATCCAAGTGGTCCGCCTCGTCTCTCTGAGTTCCTGGTTAGAAGAACTGGGTAATATCTTACAGACTCAAATCTTACAATTCCCCCTTTTGACATGATTTTATCATGATGGGCAAAAATTTCAGTCTCTTGATGTGCAAAACTGTTAGAGACATACCCCAAGCGACTTACAGCTGTAATCGCAGCAAAAGGTGGTGCTACAAAGTATTAACTTAAGGGGGCTGAATAATTTTGCACGCCCAATTTTTCAGTTTTTTATTTGTTAAAAAAGTTTGAAATATCCAATAAATTTCGTTCCACTTCATGATTGTGTCCCACTTGTTGTTGATTCTTCACAAAAAATTACAGTTTTATATCTTTATGTTTGAAGCCTGAAATGTGGCAAAAGGTTGCAAAGTTCAAAGGGGCCGAATACTTTCGCAAGGCACTGTAAGCTTCCAATTTTGCCCCATTCATTTCCAATGGGGAACATTCTGTACAAAAAGCTGAATATCTTAAAAAGTATAAAAGTTATAAAAAGGTTGTGTACAAGCACACCTGTCCTTAAGGAGATACACAGTAACCACACAATAAAGAACAGGATAACATAGTGTGGATGCATACGCATCCACACAATAAAGAACTGCATAACATTGTGTGGATGCGTAACCACACAATAAAGAACAGGATAACATAGTGTGGATGCATACGCATCCACACAATAAAGAACTGCATAACATTGTGTGGATGCGTAACCACACAATAAAGAACAGGATAACATAGTGTGGATGCATACGCATCCACACAATAAAGAACTGCATAACATTGTGTGGATGCGTAACCACACAATAAAGAACAGGATAACATAGTGTGGATGCATACGCATCCACACAATAAAGAACTGCATAACATTGTGTGGATGCGTAACCACACAATAAAGAACAGGATAACATAGTGTGGATGCATACGCATCCACACAATAAAGAACTGCATAACATTGTGTGGATGCGTAACCACACAATAAAGAACAGGATAACATAGTGTGGATGCATACGCATCCACACAATAAAGAACTGCATAACATTGTGTGGATGCGTAACCACACAATAAAGAACAGGATAACATAGTGTGGATGCTTACGCATACACACAACTACAGAAATGCATTTTCTGAAGAAAATGCGTATGGATGCTGAGCGCTGAAAGATCGCCCTGAAAATGCTGACT